CACCGCACGCATCCTCGAGATTCTGGGCACAAGTTCTGAGGCGCCAGTTACCCAGCAAAAATCACGCCGGGACCCCTCCACCACCCCTACCACCGCCAACCTCCTCGAGCCTCTGGGCACATGTTCTAAAGGGCCACCCACCTAGCAAAAACTGCGCCGGGACCCTCCCACCACCCCTAACACCGCGAGCCTTCTCGAGCCTCTGAGCAGGCTCTTAGAGGCCACTCACCCAACAGAAATCGCGCCAGGACCTTCCTAACCGGCTAACACCGCCAGCCTCCACGAGCCTCTGGGCACAGGTTCTAAGGGGCCACCCACCCTGCAAAAATCGCGCTTGGACCCCCCCACCAGCCCTAACACCGCCAGCCTCCTCGAGCCTCTGGGCACAGGTTCGGAGAGGCCAGTCACCTAGTACAAATCGCGCCAAGACCCCCCCCCCACCCCCAGCACCGCCAACCTCCTGGAGCCTCTGGGCATAAGTTTTTAGGGACTACCCACCCAAACAAAAAATCGCGCCGGGACCCCCCCACCACCGCTAACACCGCCAGCCTCCACGAGCCTCTGGGCACAGGTTCTGACGCGCCATTTACTCAGCAAAAATCGCGCTGGGACCCCCCCACCACCCCCACCACCGCCAGCCCCCTCGAGCCTCTGGGCACAGGTTCTAAAGGGCCACCCACCTAGCAAAAATTGCGCCGGGACCCCCCCACCACCCCTAACACCGCGAGCCTTCTCGAACCTCTGGGCACACGTTCTCATGGGCGAATCACCCAGCAAGAAACCGCGCCGGGACCCCCCCCCCAACACCGCTAACAGCGCAAAAAGCCACGGATCGCCTCTGGCTATTTTTTTTAGGGGTCCACTCAAACACATAAAATCCTGCACGAACCCCCCAAACCACCCCTAGCCCCCCAGCCTCCTGGAGCCTCTGGGCAACAGTTCTTCGGGTGACGCGCCAGTTACCCAACAAAAATCGCGCTGGGACCCCCCCACCACCCGTACCACCGCCAGCCTCCTCGAGCCTCTGGGCACGGGTTCTAATAGGGGCCAGTCACCCAGCAAAAATCGCGCCCGGACCCCCCCACCACCCCTAACACCGCCAGCCTCCTCGAGCCTCTGGGCACAGGTTCTGACGAGCCAGTTACCCAGCAATAACTGCGCCGGGACCTCCCCACCACCCCCAGCACCGCCAGCCTCCACGAGCCGCGGGGCCACATGTTCGGAAAGGCTCAATGCACCCACAAAAATCGCTCCGGGACCCCCCCACCCACCCCGTACCAGCCACCGCACGCCATCTCGGGATTCTGTCGGCACAATTCTGACGCGCAATTACCCAGCAAAAATCGCGCCGGGAACCCACAGCCACCACCCGTACCCACGCGCCCACCCTCCTCGAAGCTCTGGCACATGTTTTCTGACGTTCTTTCGAACTGGGTGAAATGATTGCTCCCGGGACCACAACCCACCCTACACCGCCCTCCTTACTCGAGCCTCTGTGCCGACCGGTTCTCATGGGCCAAGTCACCCACAAAAATCGCGCTGGCGAGACCCGGACCAACGCACCACCCCCCAACACCTGATGTATCGATGCCTGCCCGCATGCAGCACCCCCATTCCTACACAGAAAAAAAACTTCCCGAGACTCCAGAAGGCTCCTCCGAGGCGCCCCAGACGCACGACACGTCCGGTATTAGCGCACGACGCGTGATGAACGTTGCAAGTACTTTCTCTGTCACTGGCACTTGGATTGACGATCGCGCGACTGCTTGCACACAGAAGATGAAGCAAACGAAACTCAATGGGGTTCTTTGGAGCCCGTGGGATTCCCAGCGCCGACCCCTGAAGCACTCCGACGTCTGAATATCTTCGGCTCCAGTACACCAATCACAACACGGCCCCGAAGGCGCGAAGCAGTAAACGCCGCCAAAAGCCCCGAACAACACCTCATCGAAATAGGCTACACCCTGAGCCGGCTCACACCAAGCCCTCCTTGGGGTCGGCGGCAGAGGCGGCAGCCTGAAGATATCCTGCGGATTGAACACGCCGAGGCAAGCGGTTTTCAGCATACCTGGGCAGACGGGCACAAATGTCGGGCCACGGGCCTATCAACCAGCAACTCGGGCGCGCTCTTGTGGCCGCGGCTGGACCCGCTTCAAAATCATTTCTGCCCCAGGGGGAGGGTGTCCTGGCGGACTCGATCGAATCGCCCCCGGTGCTTTCTTCCCCCATTCTCGGCGCTTGGGATCTGGTCCTGACAGAAGAGCGCCCTCGTGCTCAGACCTCCAACATCGTGGTGCTCTGAGCCCATCTCCCAAAAATGCGAGCTGGCACTCTCGATGTGCACTCTTGCTGGCACAAACACGGTGCAACCGATGTTTGTAATACATAAATATATATATATATGTATATATACACACATATGTATATATACATATATATATGGATTCCTCTTCATATGTTTTTCTTACCTGGACCCCCACCCCAACCCCCCTCTAAACCAGACCCCCCCCCCCAAGGATGCCCCGGACACCCTGTCGGACGTCTCGGCGGCCCCAAGGACGCCCTTGGAAAAGGTGCGCTGGCCCTTCCGGGCCCCCAAGGGCGTCTTGCCGGGCCTTGCGACCACAGTCAAAGCGAGCAGAAACGGTCATCGGAGAGGCGCAGGAAGAGACCCAAGACAGCACAAGAGCGCTCCAAGAGGAACCTCGCTGGTCCGAAGACGGCCCACGAAGCCCCCAAGACGCCCCAAGAGGCCGTTAAGAGAGCTCCGAAGAAGCAAAAGTCGTCCCATCCGTTTTTCTTTAACATATTCGTTTTCTTAACAGATTCGTTTTTCCGTCTTCGCAGCGTCCAAGACGGCCCGATGGGCCCCAGCTCCCCAAGACGGCCCAAAAAGGCCCCAGGACGGCCCAGGAGGGCCCCCAGACGGCCCCCCCCCAAAAACCCAAACGCCCAGACGGCGTTATCCGTGCGCTCGTCGTCGTCTCTGTGTGTTTGTGTGTGTGTGTGTGTGTGTGTGTGTGTGTGTGTGTGTGTGTGTGTGTGTGTGTGTGTGTGTGTGTGTGTGTGTGTGCGCGCTGTGTGTGTGTGTGTGTGTCTCTCTCTCTCTCTCCCCCTTCCCCCTGTGATATTTCGTCGACCTCCACGTTCGTGGCATCCGATGGCCATCCTCATTCCCCCGCTCCTTCCTCTGGACCGTCTCCCCGTTTCTCCCCCCCTCCTCCCCCCTTCCGCCTCTTCAGTCCCCCCCATCATCCCTGTTCCGTTCCCGTCCCCCGTTCATGGACAGGGGCCGTCGCAACAGTTTGATGATTCGTCGTTTGCCAGGACCTTCGCGCGTGAAAAAAAACATCATTCCTGCCCCACTCCTGCGCACATGCGTGCAAAGCATCGGGCGAGCGCAGCGTCAGCAAACACTAGGGATATCAGAAACATGAACCGATCGCCCGTCCAGGCCTCGAGGTCCCCCCTGCTGAAGCAAGCGATGATTTATTGATTTGCCGGGGAAACGTTCGGAACAAGGCGCATGGGGCGAAGCGCCCATGCAGTCTTGTGTATATATCAATATGTATATGCATGTTGTATATATGTGTACACATCTATATATATATATATATATATATATATAGATGTACTAGAAACATCGCGCGCGCTTTTCGCGCGCACTTAGATTCTGGCCGGTCGAGTGCTGACCGCATTGAGACAACAAGGTGGCCATGAATAATGAGGTCAACATTCTCTGTTTCCTCCAGCCTCTTCCACATTCCTCCTCCTCCGCTCTCATCTACTAGGTCGACCGGTGATCTGTCGCCGCGCTTTTTGGAGACCTCTTGACCCCTGCTGGAGTCTCCTAGGGCGAAGATCTCGGGTTCTCAATTCACGTTCCCGATAGTGGCCTTCGGCCCATCCCGCCACCGTGCCTGGGTTGTGGTTTAGAGGCCTCTTGGAAATTCGTTTGGAATTTGTGGGAGGCTTCCCGGGGGCCTCTTGAAGGCAGTTTTGGAAGCCTCATGGGGGCCGTTTGGGGTGCTCGTGGGGCGTCTTTTTGGGACCCGTTGGGGCCTCGTGGGGCCTCTTTGGCTCTATTGGGAGCCTCTTGGGGCCTCCTGGAGGCCTCTTGGGGCAGAAGGCTCGAATTGTCGATTCGTGTTCCCCCCCTTGGGCCCCTCTTGGGGCCGTCTTGGGGCCCTCTTGGGCGATCTTGGGCGCCTCTTGGGCCGTCTTGGGGCACTCTTCGGCCGTCATGGGACTCTCTCGCGCCGTCGTGGCGCCCTCTTTGGGTGCCTCTTGGGCCGTCTTGAGCTGATTTCTGGGGCCTCGTGGGCTGTCTTGGACCGTCGGTGGCACGAAACAGCGAGAACATGAAAAGCCTTTAAAACCCCTCCAACAAAAACATTCGTTCGCCTCCTGAATGCCTCGTGGGAGTCCTTTTGAGGGCATCTTGGCCGTCTTGAAGCCCTCCTGGGCCGTCTTCAAGACATGTTGGACCAGCTTTGAAAAGTTCTTGTGCGGTCTTGGGCTCTTTTGGAACGCTCCTGGGCCATCTTAGGGCCGGGCGAAAGGGGGGGTTAGCAAAGGGGAGGTTTGAGAATCAGCTCACGTAGCTGATTTTCCCGGCGCCTCCCGGCGCCGGGAGGCGCCCATGTATCGAGGAATGGGCCCGGCGGCGGAGCCGAAACCAGCTGCTTGCAGCAGATGTCGTAACCCCCCCTTTCCCAATCCCCCCCTGTCGTTCGGCCCGACATCTGGGCGTCCTCCTGGACGTCTCTCGGCCCCTTTGACGTTTTTAGGGCGCCCCCCGCCCAGCCCGAACGGACGGAAAACAAAATTCAGTGCACTTTGGGGGCTCCTGGACCCCCTACCCACATATATATATATATATAGACATACATATATATGCGTGTGTATGTATATATATATATATATATATGGATGGATGGATGGATGGATGGATGGATGGATGGATGGATGGATGGATGGATGGATGGATGGATGGGAAGGCCTCTTTCCGATCGCCACCGAGGTTGAAGTCAGGCTCAACTGTCATTGTATCTGTTAGCACTGCACTGTTAGTACACGCAGAGAGAACACATGATCAAACATACGTACACACAGTGCTGCACGGAAAAATCCCCTAAACTGTGTCAGCGAAGTGTGAAGCATGGAAGGGTGAAAAGGGTCGGTTAGGAAATCACCGAGAAACTTGAGCAACGGACGGTGTCGGACGGCAGCCCACCTCCATAAACAGCCACGTGCAAGTGCTGCCTATGTCTGCGGGGGGCTTCCTCCCGAAAACCCGAAGAGTTGAACTCAGGCTCAGCTGTCTGATATCCGTCAGCACTGCACTGTTAGTATGCGCAGAGATGACGCACGGTCCAGCATACGTACACACAGTACTGCAAGGAAGCATTCCCTACCCCAGACCTTGGTACTGGACGTGCGAAGCACGGCAATACCTATATACATACATACATACATACATACATACATACATACATACATACATACATACATACATACATACATACATACATACATACATACATACACACATACATACATACATACATGCATACATACATACATACATACATACATACATACACACATACATACATACATACATGCATACATACATACATACATACATACATAGATAGATAGATGCATGCATGCATGCATGCATACATACATACATACATACATACATACATACAAACATGCATGCATGCATGCATACATACATACACACATACATTCATACAAACATGCATACATACATACATACATACATACATACATACATATATATACTAGAACCACACGCGCGCTTCGCGCGCGCTTAGGTTCTGCCCTGGCACGAGCATCGGATGCGCCGCGGAGCGAATGAGGTTGGGAGCGGTTGCAGGAAAAGCTGTGGATAACTGGCTCACTGAGGAATGCCAGGCATATAATCCAGCCACTGGCCCTCGTAGACATCGGCCCTCTCGATGAGAAGGAGCAGTTGCAGCATGATGACGAACAGCTCGCGGCCAGAACGTGAATGGAACGACTGAGAAATCACCCTCGAGCATCGATCGTCGAGCGCCGATGAACCGTCGAACGCCGATGGACGACGGATGCGGCGTGGGCGAGGACGACAGAGAGGTCAACGACGACAGACGACAACAACGACTACGACGATACACATACTACGAACGCAACCTCGACAGCCTGGCCAGCAACCGATAGCCGTGCCCCCAGCTAAGCACCCCAGAAAGATACTCCAGAGCTAAAACCAGAACCGGAAAAACGCAAAACCAAACAAGCAGCACCAAACGCCATCAAAACCACAAGACAGAAAAACAGACCCAACATAAAACAATGAATAAAAACTCACTACCCCTTAGCGGCCACCGGCCCGCGCCAACCCATCCCGACCTCAACTCCCCCCACCACTCGTCAGCCCCCTGCCCCCAGCACCCAAACAGCTAAAAACCGCAACCAAAAAATCGCACCAACACGAAAAAGGCATCAACCCCTCAATCGCCATAAACAAAAATTCAAAAAACAGATCTCGCAGGAGCCAGCACCGGGGTAGCCGTGACCCCTCAGGCTCGCGGCCAGAACGGGAATAGTACATCGAAGAAAACCCACCTCGAACCTCCATCGTCGACCCGATGACCGACGGATGCAACGTGAGCGACGCATGTGGGGTTGTCTGGTGACCCTCTAGGAGGCCTCTGGGACCGAGCCCGCGTGCACCGCCACTAAGCGGAGCCCGACCGTCGGCTCGAGGAGATGAATGAAAGCAAAAGGGTGAAAGATTCTCAGCCCTCCTGCTGTGGGCCTTCCTTCGTTTTGAACAGAGCGCTCTGGTCTCCAGTCCTCCCGCCTCCCTCCTCCTCTTCCCCCCTCTTCCTCTGATACTACACAACCAGGATACTATACGAGTATAGGCCTCACATATCCTTGTACGGCGCGTGTGGAACAAAGGGAAAGGCCCCCTGCGAAACCTAGTGTGCTGCCAGAAGGCACGAACGGGCCCCACCCCAGCTCTGCAGCCGCGAATGGGTCTGTGGGGCTCCCTGAGCGGCAATCACTACAATTGGATGTGGGGAATCAGCTCCTGTCGTCACTGATCTACTTACTCTGCTACCACAGTACTGCTGGTACCTCGGGCTGGCCCGAGCATCCACAACCAGCAGTATGGCAACCACGGGCCCCCTTGAGCTCCCAATGGGACCCCATCCAAGCTCTTATGGCGGCCCCACCTGTGACAGCAGTGGTCTTCGATTAGTGCATCTACCAGGACCAGGATCCCACTACCATCAGCAAAGCTCCCACGAGGCTCTTGGGCATCCGACACCCTGGGCTCTATCAGAGGTTCCACGACCGTTGTTCCCACCCAAGGGGCACCTATCAGAATCTCTGAGGCAAACCTCAAGACGGTGCCTTCAAAACCAGTTCTTAGAAACCTACCTGCCACGGATGTGTCAGGGACTTGCAGAGTCTATTTGCGAATCATTCGCCGCATGTTTGTCATGAACCAGATGCTGAGGAGAGACAGACTGTGACGACAGAAACCCACTCTCATCAATTGACGAAATGTTGGCAAGACCATATGCCTGTTATGTACGCGACGTGGATCACAATTTCTCAGAGGCGCCCGATTTTTGCCCCAGCCAGAAATAACAACATAATCAAACGTGCCGATCCTGATATCGCCAGATCCGTGGACCCCTTTTCCGAGGACGGACGGTATCCCTCTTGTGATCCTACTCCTGCTCCGACTCCCGCTATTGAGGGCTCCCTTCTTTCGCCCTAGCCCCCTGGAGGCCTCCAACGAAAAAGAAGATGTTGGACCCTGATATGTCCTAGCGGTGGGGATCGGGGCCCGGGGGGCGTATACACACAAACCAATACATGGGGAGAAAGCACGAGCATGGCCCGTGGGATCTGTTTGCCGTGCACCTGTGACATGCATCTTGGGAGCCCTTTGGGGGCTTCTGGCAGCGTCTTGGGGGCCTCCCGGGCGCTTCTTGGAGCCTCCTGGGGGCTTTGGGGGGCCGAAGGCTCGAAAAGTCCGTTCGGATTCCCTGTCTGGGCCCCTTCTTAGAACCTTCTTGGGGCTATCTTGGACCGTCTTGGAGGCCTCTTAGGCTGCTTGGGTCCCTCTCGGGCTGTCTTGGGGCCGTCTTGGGAGCCTCTTGGGCTGTCTTTGGGCGATCTCGGGAGCCTCTTCTGCTATCTTGGAGCGTCGGGAAGCAAAAGGTGAGAACCACCAAATATTCACAAACACCATAGGACAACAACCATTTGTTGCCTCTTGTGGCCCTCTTGAAAAAAGCCTCTTGGAGGCCTCTTGGGTCGTCTAGGAAGCCTCTTGGGCCGTCTAGGGACTATCTTAAGCGTCTTAGACCGATCTTGTGGCGTCTCGGAGCTCTCATGGACATCTTGGGTGCTTCCTGGGGCCGTCTTGGAGGCCTCCTGGAGGCCTGCTTGGCCTTCTGGAGGCCCCTTGGAGGCGCCAGGGCGGGGGTATTAAAAAAGGGGGCCCGATGGTTTTGAGGTGGGCGGGCCCCCCGAGCTGGGGACATGGTATTCATCCATATTATATAAGTACATACATACACATACATACATACATACATACATACATGCATGCATACATACATACATACATACAGACATACATACATACCTGCATGCATATATGCACAAACATTCATACATACATACATACATACATACATACATGCATGCATGCATGCATGCATGCACACATACACACATACATACATATATACATACATATATACATACATACATACATACATACATACATACATACATACATACATACATACATACACACATACATACATGCATGCATACATATATACATACATACATGCACACATGCACACATACATACACACATACATACATACATACATACATACATACATACATACATGCATGCATACATACATACATACATACATACATACATACATACATACATACACACATACACATATGCATACATACATACGTGTATACATACATACATGCAGACACACACATACATAAATACATCCATACATACATATCCGGCGGCCCTCTTACGGGGCCACCAGGCTGTGAGGGTAAGTGTTGCAGTGCCCTGCGCCAGTGCCAGTTCACAATCTCCAATTTGATAACTCTACTTTCTGCTTCCTACTGTAAATTGTGACTGTCCGCGCGAGGGGTGGAAGCCGAAAACTACCCTGGCTACCCTCCCCGAGGAGGGTTCTCAAAATTTCCTGGGGGTCGTGGGACACGTAAAAACAAACGAGATCTGCACATCCGAGGCCAGAAGCCCTTCGCAAAATGCAGTGGGTTCGCGCTGCCGAGGCCAACACCCCGTACACTTTGTATAATACTAGCGCTGCCGAAGACACAATCCCTCGCACACTGCGCCATACTCGCGCTGTCGTGGCCACAATCCCTTGCGACCTGCGGTAGGTTCGCATTGCCGAAACCACGATCCCCCGCACATTGGACCAAATTCGCGCAGCTGGGGCCACAACCCCTTGCAAGTTGCATCATGTCCGCGCTGCCGAGGCCACAATCCCTAGCAAGTTGCACCGCATGCGCGCTGCAGAGGCAGTCCCTTGCTAATGCGCGCACGCTCGCGCTACAATCCCTTGCGCATTCGGCCATGGTGGCGCTGCCGAGGCCACAATCCCTTGCAATTTGCACGATGTTCGCTGCTGGGGCCACAATCCCTTGCAAACTGCACAGTGCTCGCGCTGCCGAGGCCACACTCCCTCACGAATTGCAATCGACTCGCGCTGCCGAGGCCACGGTCCTTCGCACATTGCGCCATGTTCGCGCTGCTGGGGCCACATTCCCTTGCACATTGCATCATATCCGCGCTGCCGAAACCACAATCCCTTACAACTTGCACCGTGTGCGCGCTGCCCAGGCCACAATCCCTTGCAAATTGCGCCATGCTCGCGCTGCCGGGGCAACAATCCGAACGAATTGCTGTAGATTCGCGATGTCGAGGCCACAATCCCGATCAAATTGCACCATATTCGCGTTGAAGAAGGTACAATTCTGGGCAAATTTCATCATCTTCGCGCTGCCGAGGCCACAATGCCGCACAAATTGCCCCATGCTCGCGCAGCCGAGGCTACAATCCCATGCAAATTGGCGCATACTCGCGCCGCCGAGGCTACAACCCCTTGCAAATTCGGCCATCCCTTACAAGTTGTACCATATTCGTGCTGCTGAGGCCACAATCCCTTGCAAATTGCGCCACACCCGCGCTGAAGAGGCCACAATCCCTGGCAAATTGCACCAGAATCGCCCTTGGATCCACAATCCTTTGCAAACTGCGCCGTATTCGCGTTGCCGAGGCCACAATCCGTAGTAAGTTACGCAACAATTGTGTTTCCGACGCTACGGTCGTTAACAAATTGTGCAATATTCGCGCTCTCGAAGCCACAACCCGTGCAACTTGCAATGTATTCGCGCCCCCGAGGCCACGATCGCTTGGAAATGTTGAAGTATTCGCGCCTCCGAGGCCACGAGCCCTTGAAAATTACGCAATTGCCGCTTTCCCGAAGCCACGATCGCTTGCACATTACGCCATGTTCGCGTCCCCGATGCCACGCTCCCTCGTAACATACGCCGAGGACCCCCGAGACCGTCCAAGCCGCGCGATTTTGCTCGACGTAGCCTCAGGCAGCCCGCAGTCGTCCCAAGTGGGCAGCCGATACCCAGCATGAGGGGAAATTCGCAAAAAGGCAGCACAGAGTTCAACGCTACCATCGGATTGTCAATTTGAAGATTGCCGATCGTCCCCGCATGAGGTTTCGATACTGCTTCACGACGGCGCTCAGGCATCCCAACATGGCTCCTGCATTTTCCATTATGATGGAGAAGGGGGCCGGCGGCAGAGGGCGAAGCATTTACGGATATATACACATACGTACATATGGGGAAACGCTTTGGATACAACCTGTGTGGTGATGCACGTGGGATCCAATGTGCTGTGCAAGCCACATGTGGGGCGTCTTGGGGGCGTCCTTGGACGTCTGGGGTCTCCTGGGGCCTCTTGAGGGGCCTCCTGGGGGCCTCCTGGCGGCCTCTTGGGGCGGAAGGCTCGAGGTTGCGGTTCGTGGTCCCCCTCTGGGCCCCCTCTTGGGCCCGTCTTGGGGCCCTCTTGGGCCATCTTGGGCGCCTCTTGGGCCGTCTTGGGGCCCTCTTGGGCTGTCCTGGGGCCCTCTTGGAAGTTTTCTGGGCCGTCTTGGGGCGGTCTTGGGCGCCTCTTGGGCCGTCCTGTAACGTCGGAAAGCCCAAAAGGCAACTTTGTTGAACATGTACGTTTTACGAAGGGAATGGGCCAACTTTTGCGTCTAGGGGCCCTCTTGGGACGCATGTTGGAGGCTTCTTGGGGCGTCTTGGGGGCGTCCTTGGACGTCTGGGGTCTCCTGGGGCCTCTTGAGTGGCCTCCTGGGGGCCTCCTGGCGGCCTCTTGGGGCGGAAGGCTCGAGCTTGCGGTTCGTGGTCACCCTCTGGGCCCTCTTGGCCCGGTCTTGGGCCCTCTTTTGGGCCATCTTGGGCGCCTCTTGGGCCGTCTTGGGGCCCTCTTGGGCTGTCCTGGGGCCCTCTGGGAAGCTTCTTGGGCCGTCTTGGGGCGGTCTTCTTTACCTTATTTATCTTTTTTTTATGTTTTTGATTTTTTTTTACTTTTCTGTTTTTTATTTTTAGTTTGTTTTTTGTTTTTTTTTATTTCTTATTTTTTTTAAAATATTATTTATTGTTTATTATTGT